TATTATTTATTATTAAATGATAATTATTAAATTAGTTTGACTCAGATCTTGAGACATTCATATGTAAAGTTGCATGTAATTTTCTTTTAGTATGCACGCTTCAATAACAAAGAAAAAAAAACAACACTATTCGCTTAAATCCAAACTACTATAAAAAATAACACATCTCCAAAGTTATATTCTGAAAAACTAATTCTTAAAGTTATCCCTAGTATTGAAACTATGTCGGCTATGTCAAAAAGTACAAATTTTAAACGATACCTACCTGTGGCAAATAAACTTGACGAATTCGAAATATCAAAAACTCGGAACCTGAGCTGTCAATGTAAAGTTTGAAGAATGCTGCCCCTGCCTGACATGCCCCCTTTCTGATATCGCCACTTTCGTCGCAAAAATTCAACTCCAAACAACAAAGCCAATCTTCAGTCTAGAAAAACAAAAAAGTTGAAACATATTTTCCTTTGTGAGAATTATTGTTATTAGTTATTTGGAAGTTCTAAAATCTGTAAAGTGTTAAATATTTCAATACAACAACTGCTATTATAACTGATTACAAAATTAGAACAAAATTCTACCTAATTAATACTATAACATGTATACCTTTATGATTTCTTTTGGTATAACAGATGATAACGATTTGATGAAAACGTTCATAGCTCGTCGCATTAATGCAGAACCCAGCGAACGAGTTTTTTTCTTACACAGAGGATAAATCATACTGGGTATTTGTGCAACATTTTCGTACAATTCCTTATCTAACAGCGTTCCACACTTTTTCAATCCTGATAAAATCGATGCCAGTGCAACAACACCTCCCTGCCGCATAATTAGTGATTCACTACTGACCAATGGCATTAACTTTTTAAGGACCTACAAATAATGTTTTTCGAACTTTTTGCAAAATAACTGTTTGTCATGTAAGACAAAAGGCTAAAGCCAAAATTAACTTCTAGTATAAAGAATAGAGATTAACACATGATACCTGAGTGGAAACAAAACTTGGATCGAAAGCACAAAGACGATGGAGTGCTTCTGCAGATAACAAGCGAATTTCTTCATCCCAATGAATTATCTACGAAAAGAGAAAGAAATAATAGAATCTAAAAAAAGCAAGAATTCCAGCGGTGCAAAATGACCATTAAGACTAAAAAAATGACCATTCAGCAAAAGACTAAAAACGTGTGTTAGCTTTTATAAATCGGCTTAGCAAACGTTTTTCCTACAAAGTTTCTACTATACAACTATCTTCGTTATCCTATATAATTTGTTATAAACTATTTTCTTGTAATTCTTTGCGACTATGCTTTCTTAATCAATTTATGAATGAAACCTTAAAAGATATGAGGTATTCGATAATCGCTTGCGTATACATTGAGTACTTTGCTATTTGACATGAAATGTCTAAGTACGATTTGCAACGTTGTCCAACAGCAAAATAATCAATTTTCGTTAGTATATCAATACCATTTGGAAAGGTACCTTGTCGACCAACAATTTCTTGGAATGCCGCACTAGCAGCTCTAAAAAATTGCATGATACTTATAAAAATCAAAAAATCTTTATCTTTCGATCATTTTCGTTCTTTCATTTTTCCTAAGTAAATTTTACTTCCTTTAAGATATAAATGATTACAGGATCATCGAAACTTTCATTTCAGCATAATTTCATATTCGACCAAGTTACACAACCAGCCAAATATTTCATAAGATGCATGCCAATATGTAAAAGTCAACGAAGCTGGATTATAAATCATTGAATGAGTGTAAAATAATTACCGTCTCACGTTAACTTCTCTATCAAATAAAGCTACACAAACAAGGCATGTTGCAATCTGTATGATATATTTTTTTAAATCCACTGGACGAAAAGCTCGAGCTAATGACCAACATATATAGCAAGCTGCATCTCGAACACTTGCCCCTAAGGCATGATGTCCTTGCGGTTCTTCAAACACTAAGGCCTGGAAACATACGAAAAAGAATCAATATACAAAAATATAACAATAAACTAAACAAATATGTGCTTTGATACTTTAAGCTATCTGCACATCTAAATCCCAGTCAAAAAAGAACTCACAGTAAGGAAAAAGCATATATGAATGATATTAAGCTTTATAATAACTAACATTCAAGACAATGTCCACAATATCCGAAAGTCTCTCGAGAGGCAAAAAACCGCGCTTTGCGAGTTCAGCAATTGCCAAACAACCACCATGCCAAGCAGCATTACCAGAGTGTAAATTGAAATTAAATTTGATGATATTGCAAAGCACATCATTTGCAAGATGTCTCGGCAAGCGAGATACAATGCGCCCAATACCTTTTGCACCAGCCCAACGTATATCAGTATCGCGATTGCGCATTGCTTCTAGAATTGTATTGAGAACCACCTCCAGCTGTAAATATCAGCTTGAAATTGATTAAATTGATTATATTACAATACCACATCGTTTCTCACTGTACATTCTTACTTCGGCTTATTAGTATGAGCAGATAGCAAGTCATACACCACCTTATATTTTTGCATAAAAATATAAGCCTTAACATTCTCCGCAAAAAACATGGTTTTATCTCAACATATTACCCTCTCTCATTCTTATGGCAAATCTTCTAGAAGCAAAGGTAAAGCAGCAGTGATAACCTCCGCAAATGGAACTTCATAAATTTCATCTTCAAAACTATCTAATTCCAAAGCACTGGATTCTTGAAGTTTTACAAAATTACTGCTTTTGAAATCCAGACTGCGATTCCCATTATCGTAACGCCACTTTGCGATCTTAAATACAAAAATCGAAAAAGCAATCCACTAAAAAAAGCAAAAAAAGATTAAATACTGAAGATTTATAATTATCAAATACTAACCTTTGGTTTTAAAAATACCATTCCCAATCTTTGAACAATTTTGACAATTAACTTTTTTACAATGAAATCTGAGTCTTCCAAACTACCAAGCCGGTGCAAGGCATTTAACACTTGATCTGCCACAGTCAGCAAGTCTTCACGCTCTCCCTAGAACAATAAAACATGATGCAAGTTATTAAAAAGTTTACATCCAAAACCATGCAGTATGTAGTCCAGAATTTCATTGTATAAATAAAATAGTTCGTAGCAATATCAAAAGCTCTTTGAGTAGTTAACTTTATTTTCTATTAATTAATTCATGAAAAACAATGAGCAGTTATATTTTACCTTTTTAAGAATTGCTGCAAGCAAACGGAGGCTACCGACGAGATCACTGTTAATAGACCATTTACCTTCACAATTTTCAATTGCCAAAACACATGGATCTACTAATTTTTTCAAATATTTCTTACGCGCGTCTTCACGAGATACTACCAGTGAAAGCAACAAAGCAGCAGAATGCTGTAAAGTTCACAGTACCAAATTTTACTGTCATAAAATTTTTAAAAATTCAGAAAGAAAAAAAAGAAAACAGCGAATTCAACATCTTATGCAAGATATCTTCTTAGCAATAAATATTTTAAAAAATGGGAATCATTTTTTTTAAAGCAAAATATTATTTTCTAAATGATCATACCTGGCACCGATCAATATTTAGATAAAGATATGGTAATGTAATGGAGACTATTCCTTCCAGTATATTAGAACCGTTCTTGGTTTCCAATTTGCTCAAATCAAATGGATTCTTGCATAAGATCACCATCCAAAGAAGGAGTATATATCGGGAATCCATATCTTCCGTAGAATCAGCATACTGTTCTAATGAAGAAAGCACTTTTTCCATATATTTCATCTTAAAAACGAAAAAAACATTATGAAGAGGATGATTTTTAAAAATAATCCAGGTTTTTTACATCTATAGTCACTCTTTTTCAATGATGGTTGATCAGCAAAGAATACGCTAATAGAAAAAAAAATAAAAGAAATTGATCAAAAAAAATTCAAACCTGGAGAATAAAAAAGATCTTAGAAATTTCACCGAAATATTTTTAATAGCTTCAAATAAACAACATTTTATCACGCTTTTAGTAAATGACAATAATCTTTTAAATATAATCGTTGCACATACTTACTTCGTGAGGTAGAAGTGAAAGGAATACTTTGTATCCTCTAACTTTTGATAAATGTGCGAGCAGTGCAAATGCTACATTTGAAACATCATCGAATCTTTAACAAATATAACTTTGAAATATTATGAAAAATAGCGAGCGTTTAAAAAATTTTTATATTTTACAGAAACAATAACATACGGAATTATTTAAAAATGAATAAAAATACGCTAATGTTTAAATATCTTTATATCTTCATAGCATAATATAAATCAGCTGGAGAAGTAAAAGCAATAAAAATATTACTTCGGACACAAACAAAAAGAAGAACCTCACCTTGTCTGTCCACTGTCAAGTAATTTTATGCATACTAGTAACTTATTCATCATGATTTCCATAAAAGGATCAAGCAAACTGGGTTGTTCTTGATATAGATCAAGAAGATATCGAAACCTGAAGAAACAATCTAAAGATAAGCATATTTCAAGTAAAATTTATGCAGAATAGCACTAGATGAGAGGACTCTCCAGACAATTCACAAATTCTTCATTGTCCCTGCTTTGAATAAGCATAAAAATTCTCAAACTAATAATTAATAGTTTGTCTATGTTAATATCATCATTACTACAAGGAAACTTTTATTTTCATCAGGAAGTCTGTGGCTACGCTTAACATTAATAATCGGACGGATCATAGAATGTACTAGTTGTATTAAGTTTGTTAATAGTTTGTCTATGTTATATATATTTTTATTTTATCTATTTATTTATAAAACAAAAAAAAAATATTAATAAAGAAGATATCAAAACCTGGAGAAACAGTCTAAAGATAAGCATATTTCAAGTAAAATTTATGCAGATGAGAGAAAGACTCTCCAGACAATTCACAAATTCTTCATTGTCCCTGCTTTGAATATGCATAAACATTATTAATAATCGAGGTTACCCACCTCACAAACTTCCAATAACCTCGGTAACATCACATGCGATGAAATAGTGATTAAAGATAACCTTTCAAAGCGGTTCTCTGTATCACGCTGGCTGCATGCAAACGAAGGTACAGCATCGATAATAGCAAATATCTCTTTCCGATGAGCAACAGCAAATGTTTTCTGTGACTCCGAAATACCGTCCTGCATCAACGAATCAAGAAGAGGTGAACCTGGCACCACATCCAGTAATACTTTTTCTTGCATCTTGAATTATTTGCATTAAAAGTTGTCCACACATAGTTCAAATTCTTTCAGATGATAAATAACAATGATATCGCAATATTTTGTTACTATCAGATCATTTGAAATTCATCCAACTTTTTAACCTTTAATTACACTCATTTTCTTTTTTATATCTTTTATCAATTCAAAAACGAAAAACTGACCAAACTGAAGATTAGTTGAATGACTAGTAAATTAATTTGAAAATTTGGGAATACTGATCCATTAAAATTGAAATAAATGGCATATTCTTCTTGAATAATCCCAAGCTTAACAAGAAAGACGCGACCGTCCCCCACCCTCCCCCCACTGAACGACCATTTCGCCGCCCAACTCTCCAAACAATTACAATTAGCAAACCTTACTTATATAAAACATTGTTTCCACCACAATCATCTGGTTATAGTCACTTTGACTAGGACTCAATGATCGAATATACGTCTCACCATTATTACTGATAAACGAAATAAAGGAAGCAATGTTTAGTCAGCCTTGAGGGACAACGAAGTCAGAGAGTCGTCATCTGAGGTGAGCTCACTTAAATTTAAAGATATTCTTCCAATATATATTTGCTCAACGTATCGAATATTCTTAGATTTATAATTTAAATATGATTGCAGTAGGAACATCACTGCAATTGTAACTGATCAAGCCAGAAAGCATTTAGCTAGGAATTAGGAGATAGAATCCGTTTGGACGAGGAAAGTGAAAAAAACTGTGGAAGTTCCAAAACCTTTTAACCATGGTTGTCAGCTTCATCGAAAAGCTGAACTGAACAATTTACGTATTTGTTTACGCTCATTTCGGAATAGTTGATGTCAAAGTTTGTGGAGGATTATTTGTTCGTTTTTCTCACCCCACTTAATTTTCTCTAAGTGTTCTTTAAGGAGATGGCTCACGTCCTTGCAACATTTCATATCGTTCAACAGTAATTCTGGAGAAAAATCCACCTTAAGTCTAGTTTCGTCATTTGTTAGCTTTAATAGAAATTATCAATTTATTTAATTCAGATTCTTCGAATGATGACTTTTCAATTCCACAAACAGACATTTGAAGGAGGTCAGCAAGTAGATGTGTGATTTCGATCAGATTGAGAAATACATCTCGATGATTTACTTTCATTTGGATTTCGTGTATTAGAAGAACTACCTGAACCTTATTTGAATTACATACAATATATCACCACAAAGAATCATTAAAAAACAAATTACTTTACAAAAACAGCAGTCAGTGAGCCAGAGAATATGTAAAAACCTGGTAACTATATTAAACTGTGAAAATAATTTATAGCTACATGAAGTTATATGAAGTCCTCAAAAATATAAAAATAAGCTTAACATAGCTGTATAACGCTAGAAAAACTTTAATAGGACAACATTTTCGCCTTGTGAATCGTTTTGATCATATCTGATTTAAAGTTTTGTTTTTCGTTTTACATTTGATATGATTAATCGGATCCCTGCGCTGGCAAACAAACTTTACTAGTGTCGTAATTCAACGGGTTTGATTCTGTCGTGCCAGTGCTGGGTTGAACTGTGAATTGTATTTCGCAACATTTCGCATCACTTCTTTATTGCTTTCTGGGGATGTCAGATTGGTAAATCGTTTCCGTTCTTTTGCCTCTCGATCCAAGCGTTCCTGCCTTAACTTTTCTAACTTCTCTTTTTTTGAAATTTCTTCCAGTTCTGATGACTTTTCTTCATTTGATGATATTTCTAGTGAACTGTAATCATGATGTCTGCTTTTCTTTTTGCACTTTTTGTGATGCGATTTCTTGTCTTTTTTTTTCCTTTTATGTTCTTTTTTTTTTATCTTTTCATGGGCTCTGAGCACCGTAACAGATGACTGATTTTCTAACTTTGTAAATCCATTTTCTTTCCTTGTTGGAATTTCCAATTTTTTGAACTCACTTTCCTTTCTCGTTGGAACTTTTTCATACCACGGTTTTTCCTGAAAATCCCAAACGCATTAGATGAATTCACAATGCAGAGAGAAAAAAAAATTGGAAAATGGACGTTACAATTTCCTTATGAAAAAACTGTTAGTGAAGTTTAAAAACGAACTTTCATCAACTCACTGGAACCTTGTCCAAGGTATTGCAAGATGCCAACTTTCTTTTCATATTCTTCTTTTTCCTTTTTCTTTTCTAGTTCATAGTCTCGATTTCCTACACCTAAATTCTTCCGGTACTCTTCTTCTAGATCAGCGAAAAGATTAATATGGCTGGAAGAATTGGTAAACAGGGCGTTATTGTCATCAGCTTCATTTTTTCCACTGCTAAATGTCGTGTTCATTCGTTCCGCATTTTTACGCAGTAAATTTACCTGGAATATTCAATATAGCAATTTATCGATAAAATTACAAGATTCAAAATTGAACAAATAAAGGCCAGGTTTAACACCGTTCGTTGCATGAAGCTACATTCAAAAGTCTGCAAACACTCATACATCTGTCAAAAATATAAAGTTAACTGGCTTTGTGTTACATGTCGTCTACCTCTTTTTAGTTCTAAATTCTCATTTAAGAAATTTGCTCTTTTCTAAAAATAGCCAACTTTATATTCCTGTTCTGCCAGCTGAGCTCTTTCTGCTACTCTTTCTTCTTCTTCTCTAGCTCTCTTTTGATCACGACGAACACGTGCAACATTCTCCTTTGTTCGCACATGCCACTTCTTTTTAGGTAATATATTCATTTTCTGAAAGAAACTTCCGTGATTTAAAAATAAGGAATCAAAACCTCCAACGCAATTCATGTCTTAGAAAGTTATGATAAGATACTCTTCCCCCACGTTTTGTTCGAAGCTATATCAACAGTCAACGAAGTGTTCCGCAAATGAATGAGAATTTGTTTAAAGAAACCTTACTTAAGTACCAGACAAAACAAATGTTGTGGATATGTAATGACATATCCCTTCCACTTTATGGCAAGACATCACTAGCTCTTTTTTCTTGTGTGCCGATGATGAAACAAAAGTTGCCAAGAATTCATTCGAATTTTTAAAATGAACAAAAAATCACAGCTTTTTCCTGTATTCTATCCTTACAAACCCTTACAAGTAAACATCGATTCAAAACTCAGTGATTTCTTATCAATCATGATATGCAATATTTTATTAAAATTTAGACAAGATACTGCAAACTATAAATATAATAAATTTACACGATCATTTCATATTAGAGAGGTGAATCAAAGAGCACCGATATGTGTGTTTGCTAACACAGTTTCTGAACACGTATGCAGCAGCTGATTTGAAATAACTACAGCATCAAATTACCGATTTAACTTATATTACATAGGAAGATATTCTCGGATACTAAATACATTAGCTGAACACATGACAAGGCCTGAAGTGCCACCATCTAATGAAAAAAAAAACATTAATGTACAAGCTAAAAGTTTACTTTTCAATGATCATATCTCCCTGCAAGGAGTGACGTAGAGATTCCTAAAACAACGAATGGTTTTCTGTTTAGTTTTCAACATGAAACATTAAACAAAATAAATTTAATATATCATTTGCTGCATGCATATGTCTCCGTATTTAGCAACACAAGCTTCTAAACTTTTAAAGCATAGTAATTCGTCTAAAAGCGATATAAAGATGGATAACAATGTACCAATTTTGTTATAGAAAAGAGCAAAAACAACATAGTTTAATGGATTTTCAATCTCTTGCCAGCATATTGAATGAAGCCTATTAAGCAGTAAGCTTATTGATGATTATACTTATTGATGTGAAAGTATAATCACCTCACTATAAATGAATATTATCAACAGGCAAAATTTAGGATGAAAATAAGGCGGTTTAAAGGTTATCACAGAAAGCTTTAATTAATTATGAGCAAATCTTACGAATTAAACAAAAAAGATACGCTAATAATTTATCGATGCAGGACTTAACATAACAGAGAAGTCCAGATATCTGGAGGCAGACCATAACTTCTAAATCATAAAAAACATAGAAGGAAATAAATTGCTTTAAAAAGCAAAGAAATTAGAACCGGAGAATAAGGAGAATAAGATAGACTTATATCAAAATTGAAAGCAACATCACTTCAAAATTCTCATATTTGTCCATTCTTTGTAAATATCAGGAACTGGTGTAGTAACACTTCAGAGTAAATGTGAATTCATTGAAAGAGCAAATGTTTGAGAAATCGAAAGGGAAGGGGATGGAACATGCAGCTGATTCCTCGTTTCTTCGAATACTTTTTCGCGATGTTGCAACGGTCGTGCACAATCTTGCTGGGATAACCGATATGCTCGGGATGCGTTTACAACAGTATCACGAACTAGGTGTGGCAGCATACAAATATGGATATGAGCTCCGTCAAAAAGTGGTCCAAACTCGAGCGGTCGCTGTGTTTCGATCCGAATCCGGAATAAATAAGGTGACATTCGATAGAGGACGATAAGCACATCACAAAATCGTGTTGCAATGGTGTCACGACGATACGGACGATCATTTTCACTCCACACTATATGCACTTCATCATTACCCAAATGCTTCAACTTCTGGGTAATATCACCTAAAATTTCTTCATTTAAAATCTAAAGCAATAGACAGGTAAGATTTACAAATAAGATAAATATCATTCATTTTCTGCCTGTACCTCTTAATAACTGCTTCTTTGCCTATACTTTTAAATGAAATTTTTTTCTATAAAAAAATAGACCATTGATAATAGTCTATTTTCATACCTCTCCTTTTAATCAATCCTACTGTTTAGATTATCCATGGTTTAGGTCATCATGATTTGTTTATCATGATGACCAGTTTCCTGCATTATGTAGAATATCAAATACTATATTTGATATTCTACATAATTCTGCATTAACGCCACAGTATATTTTACGTAATGAGAGAGCTTGAAAGAGATTTTGTAAGAAAAAAACTTATGAAGCATCAATGAAAACAAACCATCAAGCGTAGTGCTGACATGGAAAATAATTTCCGTATCATCGGATGCATAATACGCAGCAGTTGTACCATTGGGTAAGCCACCACTGTAGCCGTAATGCTGATGACCGATTTTTATTTGCCAACCCAAGCGTAAAACAAATTCATTGAATGCAACTGAACCACAGTTGTTGGAAAGTACTGAGATTTTATCCTAAAAAAGTAATATTCAAAAATTGTTCCCAATTTCACACTTCAATCAAAATTTATTTTCAGCTCCTTGAAACTATTCCCTATTTTTGCAACAGATATAACATATAACTTCTGTGAGAGAACAATAAGTTTAAGATGAGATTACAGTATTTAATAAACCGTGCATGAATTATTACTCATTTAGCTAAATGAATAAATTTAGGCTCAAATATTTCTATTAGACCGTAGTTCACATTCATAACAAAATAAAATTCATTGACAAAATGTTTTAAATTCAAAGAAATTGACCTATCAAAATGTGGTTGATAAAAAATTTGGAGAAACCAAACTTACTTCCTGCCCTTTGGCAACATAGATAACAGCCACTTTATGCACCTCTCGTGAATAAATATGGTCAAGATGTCGGATATCGCGATTGAAACTTGGTGGGATTTGTCGCGCACCAGGGAATAATCGTAAATCAGCAGCAAGAGTATGCCACGATACATATTTCTCTTCAGTTAATGCTTGTGGTGCACACTTAACTGTTTCTGAATGACGCAAAGCAGGTACACTCGTTAAGCGTCTATTCTGTTGAATGAAGAAATACATTTCGTTACATTCAATTGGATCTGCCTGCAGTGTTCGTGGTAACTGCGGCAATTTCTGCAAGAAATTTGAATCAATTTTTTCAAGAATGAAATACTTTATAATTTACTATAAAATAAAGCATACAGCACATAAGACAACTGGTTAGTTTACGAAACGTACGTCGAAGGGGTCTTCAGGTTCTCCTTTAATGCTGGTAATTTCTAATGCCACCTTCTTCGGTCGTAAAGCTAATTTCCGCAACCAATCATTAACACAATTCATTTGACGTCTAGCAGTATGCTCCCTAGTAAAACACCAGCAATGTTTTCCAACTGGTGTTCGACTTGTCACGCGTACACCATTATCCATATCAACACTGAAGAAATAACACTATCAAACTTCTTTGATATGAATCACTCATTAAACTTTAAATTGCTATGCACAATCTTACGCTCAAAACTTTACCTTAGTCTTTTTTTTTAATTTTACTGCTACCAAATCAATTACGACAAATTATCATTGCAATAGAACACTTAAGATGAACAAGGAATTTAAATTCTTGATCTTTGCAGTCATACAATAAAGAAATTAGAATAAAACATTAAAAAATTGAGTAAAGAAAACCTTAGAATAGCTCTTCCCTGGTCAAAAAAAATACGTCCTGCTGTCAGCGCATCATGTTGGGAATTTCCGGTAGTATTTTCCACTGAATTACAACGAGCTAACGCAAATGACGGTAGCGGAAATTGCCGGTAGTAAGTAAGCAAGAATCCTTCCAAACAAAGCCTTCTACCATTCAGCACGCGCTCCAGCAACGATCGTCTAAGTTGACAATCCATTAAGCTAACTGATACACTTTGCCACAGCATCTCACCAGCTAAGCAATCTTCCTTTACCTTAAAATAAAAGTAAAGATTAAGTTTCCAGTTTGGAGTGCACATGATAATTTGTAATCTGAAATAAAATGAGATGAAATGAAATGAGTCGAAGCAATTAAAATCAAAAACTTATAAAAATAAGTTCAATCTATGTGTACCGGAATGATCAAAGCAAGATTTAATTTCTATTTTGATATATAATATCAGTGTTTGTTCTCTGCTGACAATATGTATGAAAACCAAAAATGGACAGTTAGTCATCGTCTTTCCAAAAAGAAGGAAAACGGATAAACATACGAAATCAAGTGCCTGTTCCATAGCAGCGGCTAATTTATCGCGCAAGCCGATTTCTTTTAACTGGTTCAAATCAGCACAGAACATATGAAGTAAATTTGAAGAAGTTTTCAGAGTACAAACACGATTCATCACTTCGGCCATTAACTTTGTGTCAGCACGCTCGATGATTAGCAGTGCCAAGGCATGCAATGCCAATGAGTAGGATTGCAGCGGCACCTCACTCGAATTCAATGCTAGCAAATTAAGCAACAACGTTTCGCCCACAGCATGATCAGGTGAAAGAAGCGCAGCTACCTGTAATATTTTCACTGTTAATGATACATAATTTGCATATCTACTCACCATTGTTTTCTGTTAAAAAAAATGTCGTAAGAGACGGTCCCGGTGTACTCCTTAATCAACTACGATCGAAATTTATAACAAAGAGAATTAAAAGACCAAAAAACTTCAAGCATGTTCAATACTTTTAGCTCCTTTAGCTACTATTTTTAAATAATTAATTATAGTAATTTAAAAATTTAGCAGCTAACCTGCACACTTCTTGGTGAAAAATTGGATTGTTTGATGAGCTGCGTGAGTGAGCTGAGCGCTGGTCGTGCCAGTACAGTAAGATAATCCTTGGACATGAATGGTATGTATTCTAAGACAGTAGTAAAACGTTCCGAAACAATTGCTCTAGCCAGTGCAAGTAAGATGTGAGCCTGTAATTATACATTTCAAAATAGCCAAAAAATTCAAAGACATAGATTTAACTGTGCAGAACAATATAAAAATGAGGCAGAAAAGGAAAAAAAAATAAGGGAAACTGAGAAAGGAAAAAAATATAGAAATGGAAATCACTGCTGCAAAAACATCACTGTTTCACATTTTTTAAATCTTTCATTTCTATGAAAGACCGAGATTCACGCCACAGAAAGACTGGTGTTGAAAGTAATATATCGCTAGCTTGTTCGCAGAACGACAGTTCTGTATTTTCAAATACAGAACCTTGGAATTTTTTTAAACGATAAAAACCTATTATCTAAATTTAATATAAGAGGAATGAAATCAAACAATGCCATGACCTTTTCATTTCACTAATTCATTTTGTCAAATAGGTTATTAAAGTATTATTTTTCTTCTATATCTATCAATGGAACTGGAGTACTAATAATATACGTTGCTTCCCTCAAGGAACGAATAACACAGCAATAAGATACCCTTATCTTATACCTATTGTTCCTCTGCTCCTCAATTTGATGGACTTTTTGTTTCCAGTGCAAATTAAATATAAAGTAAATAAAGCAACGTGTTTTTAACTTTTGAACAACAATTTCAATATTTATGAAGAAATCTATCTTTGGCGCATTTAATTACCAAGAAAAAAATTAGTGAAATGGTGTTCATAATGCATGCAAAAAAATAGAAACACAAAAACGCCAAAGTAAAACAGAAATTAAAAACACCTTTCAAGGTATTAATGTGTGATTCTAAAACCTGAATAAATTTAGATACTAACTTATTTTTTGAATCTAAGTATTTAAACAAATAATAAACTAGCTACCTCGACAAGGGGTGGAGGACTGACAGTTGAGAGAACAGCACAATACGCAGGCAAACAATGAGTTTGCCCGGAAGGCGGCAGAAGTAACAGTCGGGTACAGATCCAATGTATCAGAGCATCAGTACCACTCAGTCGAAGTAAAGTATTGATGGTTTTTGAAATAGTCTGAAAAATGAAGTAAATTATTATCGACTCAACAGATACACAGAACTGAACTATATTCATACAAAACAACGTGAATAATGCCAAGCCAATCATACTAGACTAAGAAAGACATTTCTCAATTAAATCAAACAAAATTTAATCACCAAATTTATGTAATTTTTTCTCTAATATATTTGAAACCACAACTAGTTGTCTGGTTTAATATAAAAAGATTTACGAGAATAAGTAAAGTGGCAAGAAACGAGAATTGCACTAATTAAAACTTACCTTTAGTTAAAAAAAAGTCAATAACGCATTCCACAGTTAAAATGAAATAAAATGCGACATTCAAATTACTGACAGTCCAACTTCATCAACTATAATTAAAGTTTTGCGAAAACAAGTAACCTGAACAGCAAGATATGAATGAGAAGCATGCAATGGAGAGACCAAATTAACAATTCGCATCCATACTCTCAACCATACCACTGCGTCACCAGTTGACTGCAAGATTCATACAATTAATTCTACTTCACAGTCTAAAAATTTGCATAGATTAAATGAATTAAACAAACTTTTTCAACAAAATCCCTTGGATTATTTTTTTTAAATCTTTACATGCAACGAAAAAAAGATTGCTATATAATTTTTTTTGATAAGAAAATTGTTATCAATTTTGCATTGAGTAGTGTGAAATCACCACATAAATGTAGCTAATTCTTAACAAATAAGCAATGATGTCGGTGAAGTTATGAACTGAAATTTATCAAGGAATGATTTCAAAGCTTAAATTTGTAGTTTGATTTTTTTTTTTGTATTTAAACACTCAGCCATTTTCAATTAAATTTTGGTATAAAGTAAAAAAAATAACAAGATCAAGAAAAGAGAACTGTTAGAATATAGGAGGATCCATTTCATTCAAAGCCAATACCATAGTCCAAGTTAAAACCTAGCAAAAACAAACAAGTCGACATAATTAAAGATTTTACATATTAGTATATATAACATAATACACGTAAAGAATCTAGTCTATCTGAACTATATACTTAATATTTTAATTAGAAAGATGTATAAAAATGCAGAAGGTAAAAATCCAAGATTACCGATCACTCTCATGGGATCACTGAAGTTTCAGACAATTACTTTCTATATTTCAGCTTTCTAAGATTTAATAACGGAGATAACACGTTTAATATATATTACTTTCAAACGTTTCCAACATCGACATCAATTGGGTAATATTACCAATTAATCTCTCAAACAGTGTATCAAGACTGTTCGAAACAAATTTTTTTCAAATCGTGTTTTTCATATCGGTCAATTAAAGTGGTATGCCATTTATATGTTATCCTTCTTATCTCTTGTGACATAAATCCTTACTATGACCTTACGAAGTAACGATCATCATTTTGTTTGATAAAAATAAGCCTCTAGATATACATTATTTATAATATATATCTAGAGGTTTATCTTACTGATTTGGAGCAACAGAATATGAGAATGGTAAATTTCTTCATTTATGTGTTCTATTTATTAAAGAACTGAAAAGTAAATAAAAAACTCCCTTTCCGATGTTCAAACTGGAACTGATTAGAACTAACAAGTATCAATTTACTTATTTATTTCTGCATTTCTTTAATTTGTAATTGAATTCCACAAAAAAAATCTGTGAGGAATAAAAAAGATTATGTTCCCTGCAACATCTTTCAATCAGAAGATAACAATTTCAATATAATCATCTGATATTTTGTGATGAAAAATTAAGGGACAATAGCATAACTTTGCACACTTATAAATGGAACTAAAATATTCCTACACTGTCTCATTTGAAAACTCGAAAGATGAATGCCACAGAGAGTCGTATTACAGCCCAGGAAAATTGGGAGAGCGAATGAAATTGGAAAAGTGAGTGGCGGGTAATACGGCTTGGATAAGAATGGGAGGGATAGCATGAAGAGAGAGAGGCAAAAATAATTACAGTTGAAATTTCCAAATTTACTTTTTTTCCAAACAAGAAAAATAGCTATTAAAAATATGACTGCAGTAAAGTTATTCACTGTTTTATAGAAAAACAAGTGATGCCACGCATCAAAACAACAATAGTAATGAATAATGTCCGACCTATATAATTTATAAACTCTAGGATACCTGTAAATAAATATCATTATTAAAACGGTGACAGCCCTAAAACGACAGCAATAGGGGAGGAGACATACATGAGGCAGTATATGCTCTGACAATAATGGCAAACTACACAGTCATTAATTTTAACAGCAAAAGTTAATCCAATTAAATTGCACACAACGGACAATCAAAAATAGATTATAAAATGATTTACAATACTTCAGGTTTAAGTTTTCCTATTTTTGTTCAGCATCTTTCCATGAAAATCTTTTACAATAAACATTAGCAAAAGACCAAAAGGCCTAAATCCACAATTTTTAGACAAAATTTTTAAATCTCTTTTAATTATTTAAAACATTATCAGGCTGAGACTAAACCGAGAATTTGAAACATTGTGTCGATTTTAATGACCATATGATCTAATCCTTTATTAAGCAGAACTGCTGAAGATAATCATCAAAACTAGAATAGACGATGATGATTCAAACGTGTGCTGACCTTCATTTGCAAATCTAAGCCAGCATACGAGAATGAAAAACAAATTTTTGACATAATTGCTGCTTTCAACATTCCGTAATTCTTCACATATATGTATATGAACAAACTTAATGCCATGATGAAAGTTACAAGTTTACTAATACAATCAATATTGCAGGTATTTATCATTGCTACCGTAACATTCGTTACTCATTATCACCATTGTACATTATCAAATAAAGCTACCACACATAATTTTTATAAAATCCTAACTAGTTCCTTAAGTTTTGAAGTCGAAACAAAAAGAAAATTATAACTTTTTTTGGAAATCCAAAAAACTCAGACGTTCAGAAAAATTGTAAATGAAATAAAAAATGGTTTTTTTTCCCTAAATCTTAAAGGAAAAGTCAGTGGTAAAATAAATGAGAAAAGGAATAACAAGCCAAAACAATGTTATAGGAATTGTCTTAATTTTATTTTTCAACTTTAAATCAGTAATGCCACTTCCGGAACGGAAGAAACAGATGAACAATGTAAAAGGTTGGAATGGTAAAAATGAAATTTTTGGAAAAAAATTTTTGATTTAAGACATGATAATTTGATTTGTCTTGAACAGAGGGGTCTAATTAACACTTCAAAATATCATTACTTCTTCAGAATAGAAAGTATTTAAGAGATTATTAATGACAATGATGGTCAAAATATGAGTTCTTGGAGAATGAGGCCGAAAATTAAGAATCAAACCTACATATATGAAAATTAATATAGGAAACATAGAATCAGGTCTACACACATAAAGCAACTAAAAAAATGTCAGTTATGCTACAATATTATGGGACTATTTTATCACTGCCATTTCAAAATTAAGTAAATATAAACATATAAACACCGATACAAATATCTCAAAACAATGATACATTAAAATCTTTGTCACAAATAAAGGACCCTGACTTCAGAAAATTGCTGAAGCAGAAACCGGAATGAAGTGGTAAAAAATGAAAATAAAGAATCACATTTCAGGAGCAGCGAGGAAAACAAACATAATATTGAGAACACTGCTTACAATCATATCAAAAAATAAAGCAACAAAATATTAGGATTTCAGAACCAGACAAATACCTGAGACAATATCAAACTATTTGATAAGCCATTCTAAGACAATCAGGACGAATTAAAATAACACTTCAGCAACTATAAAGGATAATTCCGATGGAAGCTCCATTACGCTAAGAAAATACCTTCCTGCTTATACACTACAAGCAAGGATTCGAGCAAGAAGGTTTCAAAATTCCAGTCTAAAACGTTCGACGGACCGTGTAGACAACTTTAATACTAATGGAAATGATAGTAGTACTGCTCAGTGGCAGTAGAAATATTAAAAAAATAATAGAAATAGCGGTCAATACAATCAATATATGTATACATTTTTCGCAACAGAAAATATGGAATTTAACTCCTAATAGTTCACGAGAGAGCAATAATACAGAAGCAATTACAAAAATAATTTAAAATATGAATATCATATTAAGCATTTTAATGTTTAGTAAAAGACTATCAAATATAAAAAGACATTCAACTAGTATTGCGGGAATGCTGGTGATAGATATTTCATGAAGTTACTCTATCTATCCTAGGATAGCTATTTGATATGAAAAGATGGATTATGCGGAGACACCGGAAACACAGTATATGCCCAGGGATCGACTTTATTATAAATGTGGGATCCATACAATATGCAACAAATAAGTTGACTTGTTTGCAATGTTGTAAATAAAAAGGGCTCTGTTTTCACGCGTCAATAATCAATTGGTGGCAGCTTCCCCGCTCACGCTTCAAATTTTAATGTAAATTGAATTAAAAATCTTTTAAAAAGAAGCATTTGAAACAAAAGAATGATATGCGAGATGCAACTAAAGGAAAAATTGTTTATATAAATGGCGTTCAGAACTTATCATTAGCATTATGACATTTTACTGGTAAAATTTATATCAAATTTTTATTATGTGCCTTTTAGAAATGAATGTTAGAAAAACAGCTATGTGTAAATGGATAGAAACTCTAAACATCTTATTAGAGTGTTAGATTTTTTTTTTCGATAATACTAAATGAAAAGTCTCCAAAAATAGCGGTATTTGCCAATACTGTTCTACGATACACTGCATTATCAAAAAATTAATTGAAGAGTTAAACGTATGCTAACGTTCTGAAAATACTGTAAAGACAAATTAAATGTATTATATTTGATCTATTTCTCTCATGTTCACTCCAATAGATGAATTCCAATTTTGACAAATTCTTGATAAATTCCTACTTAATCACATTTGAATGTGCATATAACATTTCACGACTATTTGACTTACAAAAAAAAGAAATCAGCATATCAAGGATACTGTATGAGAAACAATGAACTGTATCAATAGAGCACTTAAAAACAGATATGATGCACTGCACCCGAAACATTGTATATGGACAATAAGTATATAAACTATGGTAAAGAATAATAAAATGCAGCAAACCATGACCCAAACAACTAACAGATCAGAACTTACTTCCACTGTCTTAATTTCTTTCCTTTCATTGAAAAAAAGCAATTTAAAGGAAGGAACTTTATTACAAATTTGAGAATATTATGCTTTGAAACTTTAGTTTTTTGATAATATAAGAGTAAAAGAAGCACTTTAGTTGATATATAAGAATTGTAATCTGACATATTTCAAAATGGCGGTTAGAGGTCCAAGCGGGAAATAATGGTAGTGTCTCTATAGATTTAAATAAAGGTATTATCTTAACATTATCTTAATGTTCCATTTCAAGCTAAATATGATATCATACAAACAGATTTGATACATCATTACGTAAAGCAACAAAACAGTTGGGTGATGCAATCATATCTACCGTCAATCAGCTGAACAAATACAGAATAGTCTTGATATACAGCTACACAGCTACACCCATTCTGTTTACGGACTTTAGAAAATGGAAAGGGAACTTCATGCAATTATGAAAATAAATTAATACGTAATTAACCCACTGAAACGCCCATATAAAACTATTCATTTGAAGACATATCTTGAAATTAAAAAGTCATATTCTTAGTTATTATGTATGAAGAAGAAATATCAAAAAAAATCCAAATATGATAAGTTGAAGAATTAGTAAACAAATGATGTGTTCAATTAGATTAAAGTGTGCTTATAAAAGAATACAGGATGAAAAACGCGGATTTCAATATAATGGTGAACTGGATAGGTATGATGGACGAAATTTCTTATTTTATCGACAAAATTTATTTTTCTATATAGTTAACTTTCTATTTTAATCTGAGAATAATTCTGCAATCTTTACCCTTTACGAAGTGAAGAAAAATTATTTTTCAATTCCCAAAATTCTCAAAATTATTATAAAAAATGTTACAGCAAAGACGATCTAATCAAGGATAAGCGAAGCTATGAACATCTTAAATATTCAACCGTACGATAAATAACGACATTGATTTTTACTAAAAATAATTATAGCTAGAGGCCATCTATGGAATTAATTAAAAGGAGTTTACAAAAAGGAGTCTGCAAAGCAATGCAGCAACGTTTTCTTCAATATTTTGACCTACACTGACTTTGCTTTATTAATTTAACATCAGTAAGAATAACTTTAAATCCCGATTGAGTGCAAAAGATCAATACAAATAAATGTCGCAATGAATATCAAATTCGACAATGAAAAGAGTGTTGTTTTACTTTCAACGAAAACCATTTCTTAATTCGATTCAAAACAAAAGAAAAAATATGAATGAATTATGCCTTAACTTAATTCATCTATTTAATTTATTACTTTCCCATGTACTACCCACAGCAGAAGCTGTCATATACAAAGCAGGAAGCAATATAAACAAGACAGCACGATTTTGTCAACCAAAAACCCGAAGCTAAAAAAACAAAATTTACCTGTACTACTGAAGTGAATTGCGTATTTTCATCCTCGACAGAATTGTCGTTTTCGGATCGAGTTTCTTCTGAGAACTCTGTATTTCCATCTTCCTGAGTAGTTGTCGTTTCGTTACTTTTTACTCTTTTGACTATTTGATGCGAAATCTAAAATAATATGGTATTTGATTGCTTCTGCTTTTGTTATTTGCTTCAAAACCCTAAAAAAAGATTCGATGAACCGCGTTACAAATAAATAAATTGAAAGGACTAGATTTATAAAAAATATACCGACTGAGGAGGTGGGGCAACGTCAACTTCAAAAAGATTCAGGATAAGTGCACGTGTAACACTATCGACCACTCGGCTCCACTGTTCAATCATTTGCATCCAACAACCAGACTGGAACACAGCCAGCACATCATCCCATATTCTCTCTTCGATTTCAATACCTAAAACAAATTTTGAAGAGCAAATTTGTCGGCTCCGTCGGTATAATATGGGTATGAAATCCAATAAAATTTCAGATGAATAATAAACTAACCACTTATGGCTCGAACGAAAACAATAACACCAAGAAGATTTTGTGCCAAAGCACCAGAAGTTGCACGTCCATAAGCGTCAGATCTAAAATAAAATCTATCAATCATAACAAATAATCAAACGAAAACAATTTTTTCCAGGTACAATAAAATTTGATGTAATAATGTCTGAAAAGACATGAAGGAAAAACGGTTCAAAACCTGGAAGTAACAGTGCGCACGCCATCTGCAAGACTTTTGATCAGTTCGCACCACACTCTAGTTGACAGTGAATTTGGTAAGGGTGTTGAAGGATTTGAGAGATCACGGGTTGTTTGCAGTAAACTCTGCGTCAAAGAAATGGCAGACGACAAGCGTTCACCAGCTGCCGATAAGTATGGACTGTGAAAAAATGAAGTAAGAAAATGAATGAGCAAAAGTGATAATGATTCAATCGCAATTCCTCCTTGATCAATAAAAGGAGGTAAATTCCGTTGCAATAACCATGTATTGATCAAAGAAAAGACCTGAAAACAGAAATTCATAGCAGTTATTTACCAGAGTGAGTTATTGCTTTTTACCTTGAAATAACTGAAGAAATATCAAATTTGTGTGCAGAAAAAACCGGAAAAAAGGAGAAAAAAACGCTACCATTCTTATATTTATGAAATTCATTAGACTGCCACTACTCCGACCCTAAATCCAAAGCAAAAGTAGAGTATGCTATCTCCTTATTACTAAGTTAAAAAATAGCTTGCAATCATCCCAAAGATCGTAAGACTGAAAGAAAGATATATTTAAATTCCATCACTAAAAATGTATACAAGGCATCCATATGACTTCCACCTCTGGTTGACACTTATAAAATTTAAATTTACGAAGGAAAGATGCAAAACTTACTTTATGAATGACGTTCGAACACGGTAGTGGTAACATTACAGCTTCTTTTAAAAGTGTTAGAAGCGTATTCGTTGCTTTACGACTGGAAAACAAAGCTTTCTTATATAGAAGCTGACCTGTTACAGCTAAATCATTAGTAGTTGTAAGTGCAACCGTCGCCATCCACCTGCAAATAAGTAAGGATTACAGCTCTAAATTTCCAACTTCAATTTTTTTTCCATAAAAGAATAGTGAAAAGAAATGTTAAATAGAATTTATCAATGTGTTCAGTAAGAGGAAGGGAAGAAATAGGAATGAGATTTGAAAGAAGAGTTTAAAGAATAATCGAATTATCAGGAAGATATTCACAGCAAAATATTCAACAAACCTGATAAGCCAATACCGTGCAATTACTATAGGATCGGCGGTATCGCGAATATCTATTTGTCCTTCACTACCCTCCCATCCACCATAAATATCCACACCATTAGTTTCTATATCAGGAAATATTTCATAAATGTAGAGAACAATCACACGATCCAGAATAAATTTTGCACACTCTAAACGCATATTTTCATCATTCCATTCGATACGAATCGTTTCTCGTGTACAGTATTCAAGAAACTTATCCAGATATATCTAAAAAGGAGCTTTTCAAAAGTTTTGAATTCTACCATTTCTGGAATCATTTTTTAAATAATGACAATAATATACTTCATTACAACTTTATGTTTTCTATCACAATTATTAAATTACTTGAAGTAGCTGTGCTCTTTCCTTCGCACTCGGTACAGTGTTGTTCGGATTACATACAAGTGGTGAGTTACGGATAGGTCCTGGTCCCACGTTACTAGTGGTCGATTGACAATAATTATGTAAAATGTTTTCAGTAGGCAAATTATTCCTGAAAATGAGTGAATTACAATTACTTAACAAAGCAAATCAAGTTATCTAATTTTTATCATATAAGAAAACTAATAAACGATTTGCAAAAAAAAAAATAATGAAAAACAGGATTTACGAACCATACGAATAGGGAATTACAAGCCTTATGAAGAGAGATTTACGAACCTTAAAGGGAAATGTGGAAGGAGACATTGAAAAACGGTATCTAACTGCGAAGTATTGTTGCTGTACATGGCCAAACTCTGATACCAAATAATAAATAAACGCAGCGCAATTTTTCTTACGGCTAGCAAATTATGTGGAAACAGAGCCTTTTTCAGGACATATTCGATGGCATGCTTTTGCCAGCCTGGAAAAATAGAAATTGGAATTTGGGTTTTGCATAAATTTTAGACTTAAAAACAAAAAATTCAAAGAAAAAATATTTGTACATAATAAGAAAGCAGATATATACCACTGCCAACTAATCCTGGCGCAAGGCATAGTAATTGTTCGAGCGTCCACAAAGCTGACTCTGCTTCAAGAACTGATTGAGCCGTTTGCGTAAGATCAGCTTGCAGTAGCAATTCATCAACCAAATGGAATGTTTCAAAACTATAATCTTCCATAAACTGCCTCTTATCCTGGAAAAGAATAAATGCAACTTGAGGTGAAATTCTCGTTTAAAATCCTTAACTTCAGTAATTAATGTCAAATTTCTCTAGAATTGTTTAGAAAAAAATTTTATTTCATATAAGGATAGAAACAGGATGGATTTGAGTCGTCTAACATATTCAAAATTAACTAATACCAATAATTTGATCTCTAACTGCTTAGCACATCTAACTCTTTCTATAAGGGGGTGTATTAGTATCACATTAAAATGCATGCTGCAGAAATAAATACTGCATGTTTATTTTAATAGTTCCTATCATATGTTTTAAAATTCAAAATTAAACAGCAAAAAACAAACTTGAGTGCAAAGGGCATCGAGAGCAAGTTTGAGATGTTTGGCCCGTGATGCACAATCACGATGAAGATCGGCGAAACGATGTAACGACGCTGTTAAATCTGCCGACTTCACCTTGCGAACAAACATTTTTTGTTTTATAATGCAGCAAGTTTGTTCAGTTTTACTGCTGAAATGCATAAAAAAGCTAAACATTAGAATCAAACATTCTACCTAATATGCCACTGCTTCAAAAACATCAATCAATTACCAATAACAGTAATTTCAAAAATATTCCATATGAATGGAAAAAAGAATTGAAAAGAAGACACCCAACTAGATAAATGATATGACAGCATAGAGATTTGATATTTTAAAATGTCATTTAGTTATCACTAGAAAGTACTCACCCTAACTTTTTATACTACCGACATTCGATATACTATCCTTACTGTGTAGAAACGATCACCGTTATAAGTAAGCCACATCCAGTTGATTTCTAATTAAGCCTTTGATGATAATTATGCGTGGGAAAGTAAAGTATGACAAGAAATAAGCGTAGCATATAATAACGATGGATAAAAAACAGGAAACGAGAAAGATGGAAAGTGACACAGATAACTGAAGAGGACATATAACATACACATCATTTCAAGTCGTTACAGCTTCTAGACCAGCCCTTACCTATCCATTCATTCCATTAATTTCAAATAACCTCGTTTCTGTTCGGTCCCCGCACCCATGTACCTCCCCCCTCGTCGCATCTTTTAATTCAACTAATCATCAAATATTAAATGGAAAAATTCCTTATGACACCTGAGTATTTCACAGCAATCCATCAAATCGCTGTCCTCTGCCTCTCCCCCTCTCTATTTCAGTGGGGATGGGTGTCTTGCCCCGCCATTTGCGGTCTATTTTGCACGCTTACTCTTCTGCGGCTGATGCTTACTAATGGTAATACCTTAAATAGGTTTTGAAATTCGGCTTAATTTGTGGGAAAGATGAAATATTGCCTCCTCGCAGACGACTACTCCCTCCAGATGACAAATTATTGTCACTCTCTGATCCGTGGGATGACTCCCTTCCTCATACGTATAGATGCCTAAGACATAGATTCTATCAGAGATAGTTATTTCCCTTCGTTTTTGAATTTCCTCATGTAACACATCATCTCTTCAAATCTGAAGTTGTCATCACTGATGATATGACTCAGTCTTTTTATTCGTGTTTCCACTTAAGAAAATTCGATTCCAAAAGATGGGACAGTTCGTTGTCCACTTCTGATTCAAACTAGTATTTAGCTTCTAATTGTTTAAGACTGATCAAAGCTGTTTTTGTAGATATTTTATTAATTAAACACAACGAAAGGGTAATATCAGTTTAACACATAATTATTAACAGCAGTAGATATAAATGGAAAACTAATCCTTTATCACTGTTAAAATTAATTACGTTGGACGAAAATCTTCAGACTCTAATAAATTTAAACTAAGTGCCAATTCTCTAACGTTATGATTGTTAAACAATAGACTATGCAATGGAATTCTGAAACCACAATAAACACAATTAATTGTTAATTTCTCATTTTTATATATAGATAATATCATTCATCTATTAAAACTATCTACAGAAATACAAGTCAACAAAATCCTTAATATGAACACTGAAATATTTGAACGATGGCAATAATCTGTTCCGAATGAATAAACTGCTTTGAAACTCTTCCGCAAAATGATCACTTATCTACTAAACTTGTCCTAAGTGTATCGAAATCATATACAAACCATGCCGCTTTTCTTTTCACCACTTCACGACATCGGTTCCCACCAAAGCCAATGAATAGGTCCGCTTGTGCGGATGCTTCCAGATCGGTAACACCATCACCAATCATTACTAAATTTCGGTACCCTTTCTCGTCCTTTAACTTTTTACAGACTGCTGCTTTACCGAAATTTTCAGAATTTGAGTCACTGGTTATTCTTGTTTCATCAAAGCCAATGAAAAATCCATTTTCATCGAAGAATATCTCATTTGCATAAATATTTGTGTCAGGAATTTTAAGAACCTTTGCTACCGGAAGAATCATTGGAAAAAAGCCACCACTGATCAAATAAACGGGAATAAGACGATGATGCAATTCAGCAACTAAAGCTTCACTGCCAGATGTCAATCTTAATTTTCTTTTTTGAATGAAATCTTCCAACTGTTTCCGCGTTGGTTTAAGAATATTTAAACGAATCTTTAAAGATTCACGAAATGAAATCTTACCATTCATTGTTTCTTCGGTGAATTTTGCAACTTCATAGCAATGAAGGTATTTTGCGAATTCATCGAGCATTTCATTAGTATACAAGGTAGAGTCGACATCGAAACAAACTGCATCTGCCTTCTGCCAGCGTTTCTTGGCTTCCGCTTCATTTTCATTAGAACTACGCAGGTCTTCCATTCTTTAACATATTCATAGATCCACTCCCAATGGAAGAGTCCTAAGATGCTAGTAAATTCTCATTTAGTATGACAATCTTTTCTGATTACATCAACATGATATAATCAGAAAAGATAAATATGACAATATGACAATATGATAATATGGTAAATATGATAATATGATGAATATGATAATATGGTAAATATGATATGATAAAATTAGCACTCCTCCATCAGGAACAATTTACTAATGGATACAGTCTGTCAAAGAGGTAAATTACTCATCTACTGAATTCCCCATTCCAACTAACCATCGTTACTCAAAGTACCAGAGCCCAGAAAACAATAAAAAATAGCCAGGCCTCATTTTTAAGGACGAGTCCTTTTAGTCCTTAAATAGCTCATCTGTAAATAAGCAAAAGAATAAAAAGATATCTGCGTGACTGTATGACAATTTGCTGCTCAATTCTCACATTCCAAACATTTCTTGACTAAATTTAATTAGATCTTATATTCTAAAGTAATGAAATGGATGAAATTCCTTAACGTAGTATCGAAGAAAAGAACTTGCTATTTCTAAAGATGTCAATTCAGAACACTTTTTTAGCAAGCATCAAAGAGAAGATAATTACTATCATATTTCATAATAAATTGTTAGCAAATTGACTAACAGTATGTTCTGGGTATATCCGACTTTTAAATGACCGATTCAAATAAAATTATCAACAATGGCTAGAACCCAGCAGATTAGTGCCCGTTGTTTCCACAGAAATAATGAATTTACTGAAGCAACATAAAATATTGATTAAAGCATATTACTGTTTGGAAATATGGATTTTAAAATAATACTTAAAAGCGTGTACCTCCAAGCAATGATTATTTACCGTTAAATAAGCAAATTTTGATTTAACCATGAAAAAAGCGAAGACATCTGATTTTAGATCAGTGAAAAAAAAACTGTTTTAACACATGAAGAATGGTTGAAAATGACATAAGATCTATTTAACTATGTGCAATACAACAAATATAAGAAGTTGAGACAAATAGTTTTTTCTTTCCGCATTACTGGTGTGCCAAAATATATTACAAATAAGTACTTGGAGAACTTAAAAACTGGAACAAATTTTTCTTTGAATTTGAGTGACTTGATGATTATGGCACAGAAAAGCAAGCCAAAGAGTTCCTCAAATTGCAAAGTACAATGGTAATTTACAAGATATATTTCAATGCATGTAAATATGACCCTGTGTACAAAACCGTCTGATATTATTTAATATTAAAACAAAAAGTGAGCTGTGTTGGAGAGACATATTCAATTCGCAACGAATGGTATTACATAATTGTTTCAGCTATAAATTACTCCAAATTTTCGGTGCAAAATCTTACTGATAGCAAACTCTTGTCCTGTGCAAAAATTGAGTTTGAAACCAACAAAACATATATAAATGATCTGACGGTGTTTCAGTTAGTGCATTACTAAAAAGCAGCACCAAATAAACACAGTTAATTAGTAAAGTAAACAACGAGTGATTTGCTTTTCATTTAATTGAAATTGAGATACCATTGCTTTTATTTCTAAAAAATACATCGACCTTCACGGAATGAAAAACAAGATATCATTTTGCTGTGGCCCTGATATTGCCGTACCATCTGAAACATAACGAACTTATTTGCAACTTTTTTAAAATTTGAACCAAAGAAAACACAAGTAGAAACAAAAACTACATACCTCTTCAGTCTCAAGATTCCATAACTTTAATTGGCAACCAGATGCAGTGAAAAGGTATTTAGAATCAGATGTAAATGCACAATCCCAAACCCATCGTGACTCCATCTAAAATAATCAGTTGAACAATCAACTCAAATAAAAATGGCAAAAAAAAGTGTACGTCTTGAAGTTAACTGTTTGGATGAAGAGATTGTTCTATAGATTATAAAGCGATTCGGCATTTTTTAGCTAACTTCTATAACATATGTATTATTATTTGTCTTAATTTGTCTATTAGCGAATAAACTGCGCATCCATCAGAATCTGAGCTCTAATCCAAGCTTAACTTTACCTTTTGAATATAAATCATCTTTACAACACTATTTATAATCATTTTTTTTAGTTTATAAAAGTCGTAATATTAGGACGTTTTAATTTAATTATGAATAGTACCTTTTCTAGATGAACTGTTTCCGTTAAATTAGGCCCAACAAAAAGGGACTTTGCGGGTTTCGTGATATTTGTAATATCCCATAAGTGTACATAACCATCAGCGCCCGTCGTTGCAAAATATTTATAATCAGGAGAAAAGCGACATCTCAAAGCATATTTTGAATGAGCAGCAATTTTTGACTTCTGCTGCCTGAAATATGAAATCCGCGTAAAATCAAAACAAAGAAATCTTATAAAGAGCTTTAGGAATCCTACAACTCAAATAAAAATGGCAAAAAAAAGTGTACGTCTTGAAGTTAACTGTTTGGATGAAGAGATTGTTCTATAGATTATAAAGCGATTCGGCATTTTTTAGCTAACTTCTATAACATATGTATTATTATTTGTCTTAATTTGTCTATTACTTGTCTCCTTAACAAGTATACGTACAATATAAGGAAACTAGTTCTTTATAAATAACTACTAAGAAAATCGCTTCTTTACAAGTGGTTTTTATTACAAATAATTCAAACTAATCGTAAATTTTTTCTGATAAAAAATAGCTATAGTTCGTCGAAAACGTACAGTGCTAAGCCGGTAGTGGATGTAGTACCGAGTTCGGGTAATGTTGATATAGACCACACTATGACTTTTCCTCTATTTGTTACTCCAACAAGTGCATTAGCAGTTCTATTGATATCAACAGAAGTGATATGTTCAAATACGTCGAGATTTAAGTTTGAAAATATATCGCTGACTTCATTTCTCACATCCCAGAAATATAATGCTCCAGAAACGTCTGATATAATTAAAATCGAAAGATATGGATGGGTAACAACACAATTCACCGCCGCGTTGACCTGAAAAATTTCAAAAAAAAGAATAAAGTTCTGCATATTACGTTTTATTACTCAATACTATATAAATACTATATATCAATACTATATACTATATATCTCAATACTATATAAAATACCACCGTACCACTTGACTTATTACGCAATTTGCATGATTTACTTCAAATACCAGTCTACTGCATTTTTGCGATCTATTTCATCTCCATGGTATGAAGAGGTGCAAAGGTTAAAGTTCATGAGATTGTATTTCATGAAAGCAAGGGAGAGAAGGAGGAAAGATAGAAAAACATAAATGAACCTGTCATATTACTAACTCTTCAAATACAAATCAGACTTCCAGGAATTGTCATGCAAGGAAGTTTTGGCAATGGTACTATATTTTTCCTGTATAAGCCTCTTTAGTTATAATTTTTTAGATTCATTCTCCAACTTTTAGAACTATGAAACAATGCTTATATATCTTATATCTTGCACTGCCACTAACAATGCTTATATATTTTATATCTTTCAATGCCACTAACTGAAGAATGGTTTAAACGGCGAATTGTAATTGAAAACCGCACACAAGCCAGTTTATGAATTTAAGTTTTTTTAATCCATGAATTACGGATATCGAAAAAGTTCATAAAAGCTTTGTACTTGAGCTGATAAATGAAACATTATTTACTTGAAAACTACTTTGGCACTGTAAAGAAGTGCGGAAATCCCAAGTTTTTACGAGACCATCTTCACCAGCAGTGTAAAAAAATTTGCAACGCTTATCGGAGCCAACCACTGTCACATTTTTATTTCCTGAGTCACATGATGCTGCCATTGTTGGAGGAGATATCTAAACAGAGTTCCAAATTTTGAAGCTTAAATAGATGGAAAAGAAAAAAAATTTTTTTTCCTCTTTCTCACATTTCCTTTTTTATTTATGTTTTTTTTCTCTTTCTCATTTTTTTTATTTTATGTTTCTATTTTCTTCTCTTTTTCTCATATTTTCTATTTAAATAAATTTTTTCCCTCTTTCTCATATTTTTTAAATTTATGATCTATTCTGATCTCCCATCATTTTAATGCAAATAACAGTTAAAACAGACTCACCCCTAAATGATAGATACGGACATGTTGCCATCCGGCAATCGCCAGATACAAACCATTTGGAGAAATATTCATTGCATTAATTTGAGAGTCCTTCTGCATAAAATTCTCTCGTGCCTCACCTCTTGCAATATCCCAAAATTTAACGCACTGATCATAACCAGCCGAAATCAATAGTGGTTGACTTACAGATGGTCCTTCCAGGTCATCTGGAAAATTTTCAAATTCCCTAATCTCTTTGGAAAAAGTTTTTTAAATTTGTAAATAGATCAGTAATCTGGCAATTTTGAAACACTTTAAACTGTAGTAATTCTAGACAATGAATTCTCATCAATAAGATCATTGTGTTTCACCGAACAACTTAAACACTAATATAAGATACTTTTGCGTCTTGTCTATTAATAATTCTTCCACTATGCATGACCAAGTATTATTTCTCGATCTGAAAGCAGAAAATGTCTAGTCAGAAAGACAGTTAGAAATGTCACAATGTTAGGACGTTCGGGGTTTCTATGACACAGTGAAATTATGCAATGAACTACTAAATTATTTAATTTAAGGTATTACCGACCACTGACGATTAGAAAAAGAGGTTGAAAACAGAAACCAACTCATGTAATTTAAGCATAAAAATTTACCTAAATAATGTGATTCTGTGACTGCACTGCTAGCATCCATATCCAAATAAATTATTAGATAATTTCTCCTTGTAGTACACTTCGCCAAATAAACATACCTTAAAAATAACTCGAAGAAGAATCCTCTATTAAATAAACTAAATCCAGCAATAAATAGAGAAGCTCTTACTCCTATCAAATGTTTATTCTTTTCAAGAATTATGTTTAACAATAAGTTTTAAGCAGTATTGAACTATAGATTTCGTACTAAAATTATTTCAAAAAGAACGAACAATATCAAAAATATTTATTAACGCGTGACTATTATGAGAAATTGCAGTGTAATACAATGAGATGCTAAAGTAACAGTGTGTTGAATAGTAGGGTTATAATGACTCCATTAGAAATTAAAACACCACATGTTTTTTTGTTCTTGTACAGAGATTGCCTCATATTAATGAGATTATGAAATTATGCAAAAAGATATTTATTGAAAACCGAAATTACAAATCTGAAGAAAACTTATATGTCAGTGACACCAACGACGCAGAAATGAAGCTTGAATGTTATAAAGTGAAAAAAAAACAGTGATCCTTGAATTCGGTTTGGTGTTCCTGAATACTGAAAGGCTGATCTCTGCAATGACTTACAGTAGACAAAGAAAGAAAGCTCAAAAAATAGTGCACGATCATGAAAGATGTGGAATAAGAAACTAATGAAATATGTGGAATCAAAAAATGAATAAAATAAAAGCTATGAATAACTGAAAAATCTCCAACTTCAGAAAAAACCGGTTTAGACTACAAAGTTAGAATTTTCTCGAAACATCTAGAGCTTTTTAAAACATCAAAAGCATCTAAAGCAAAAAAATCCTTCATTTTAGATTTGAAGACCAATTTAACTGAGCAAATATACATGGAACCTTGTCGATAAAAACTCAAAAGTAGAGATTTTAGGGTGTTCACTATCTAAATAATAAAACAAGCTACTAAAAATGAGAGAAACAAGCGCAATACTCCCAAGTAATCATACAAAACATAAAACAAGTGAAGGACCTAAAAGGCAGTACAAAATAAAAACGAAAAAAAGCAAGAATGATATGAATTGTGAAGGCAAATTTAAAAAAAAAAAAGATGACCCAGCAAAAACATAAAATCTGAATGTCCATTAAATTCAACTGCATGAAATCAAAATGAATGAAAATAGATCATGAATTTACACGAAGTCTTGCATGGATGAAGATAAAAACAGTTTCAGTCCATGTCAACAATAAAACTGGACAATTTGCACTCTAATAGTATCAAAATTAAGTAACTTTATCACAGAGCTATTGGAGAAATAAGTGAATTGTTTGGGAGAGTAGCGGAACGAGGCACATTTGCAGATTTTGTAGGCACCTTCATCGAACTACCAGAACGCGGAAGTGGCGTCCCCTGCAAACATATAATGAATCTCTATCATTCAATTCGAAACAATCCTTTTAAAATTCTTCAAAGCTGACCTTCGACAAAATTTGAATGTTCTCTGAATAATATATGGATAATCACTTTCCTAGAATCAATATCTCAATGGAATTTAAATATTGTATTCTCGAAAATTATTGTAATAAATGATATTTTGTTGGAATACCGTTTTCTGGGAATGTTTGTAATCAAGGAAACGTTTTAAATGTTGAACCCATGCTTCACATGTTTCTGCTGATGGAGCCATTATTAACATTTCTCGAGCATCTACTGTTTCTAAAAAATAACCCCATATATTTTATCACAACACTGTAAGATAAGAATCTAAAGCATGCAGTAAGGCTCTGGATTACGTTACAAACCAAAACTTACGTCTGCATTGTGGTATTGTTTCCACTCCAAGATGATCTCTATGAAAACGCATCCGACAACCTACAAACAAATTAGTGTTAGCATAAGAAAGAAGAATGAGTAAATTATTAGCCAACCTTAAAAAAAAAAATAAAGTAATTCGAAAAAACGTACGCCTGCATTCGAAAGCTGGTGGAGGTCGGAGCAAATTTGACAGTGGCTTAACACAAAGATCACAGTTCGTTGGCATATGGAAAGTTAGTTCAACTAAATCATGCCGATTCCATAATGCTTTATCTAGTTTCTCCTGAAAAGATTCTTTAAATTATTCAACTATAATTATAATATATAAATGTCTAGAATTTCATGTCAGCAAAAACCGTACTCTCCATTTCTCCTCCCTTCATCCTGTTTAGCAATCACCATCCATTGTATCAACCTCTTACATACCAATCATAAAAAAAGAGTGATAAAACCTTATCAATTAAGAAACTGCTAGTCATACCAGACGAACTATTTTTGCGAAATTTTAATGTTCTATGCAAGTTCAAGTTTATAGTAAATATCAAAACTGTTTATTTCTCATTATATTATTTTTTTTCTCGAACGGGGTCAAAATGTCTTTTTCATTTACATCCAGTAATCTTTGTTAAAAAATGATGTAAACTTTCAAAAAAAAAAAATCTATTTTTTGCTTTAAGATTGACTAAGTATTTCCTTCCTTCAAAAAAATTTCATTAAAAGAAAGCAAAACAAAGGAATGTTTCATAATTTGCAAGCATACAAAAATTATAAGAAATACTAACCTCACGAGAACTTGATAATGATGATAAGTCAGCCACGGAAGAGCGCCGTGATGATGAATTCTCCTCAGTACCATATAAGATCTAAAAAACGTTCGAGCAAAAATAATGAAGATTTATCAAAATCAAGAAAATATTTGGTCACGCAATCGAAAACAATTTTTTTAAAACTTTTTAAAGTAAAATTCTAAACATTCACTATATTGCTACCGATTCTTATAACCAACAGAGGACAGATTTTTTTGGAGTTTTGAAACACTTGAAATTTTTTGAGATCTGTTGCAAGTAATGGTGAAATTGGGGTTTATTTAAAAAGTCAAAAGCTATATTCATTACATGAATCAAAAAAAAAAATGTAATGAGGCTGTACATGCATTCAATCCAGACGAAATGCTCAAGCAAAGCAATTGCAGATTACATTTTATATGCTCCTCTACCTCCCTGCATAATGTCAGAAGTATTAATAGTTTAGTAGATCATTAGTAGACCTAAATCTCGCTCTTATCTTCAATGGTCATTGAAAAGAAAAATACAAATATCCATTTGAATTGCAACAATTTTTTAAATCATTTGAATTGCAACAACTTTTTAAGTATAAAAAATATATTTGTGAAGTTATAAAAAATATAAAAAATTATAAACATCGCTTTGTACGTACCTGGAAAATACGAGGTAACTGATTTTCCCCAGCGCATCTAACATCTGCAGCACTCACATGACGAGCATGGCATAATTTACTGAATAATAATGAATTTTAAACATAGAAATACCACAAAAAAGCATAAAGATTACAGCGTATAAATCACGTTCGTAACAAAAAACAGAGTAAATTGCTCGAACTGAAGGAAGTTATTTAACAAAGGCAAAAAGGAAAAAATTGCTTAGAATAAAATCATACTCGGCCTGGATAGTTTGAAAAGGCTGCCGATCATTTTGTGTCAAATAAAAAAAAAGGCCAGCAGGACTAAAAACTGCAAAACATTCTTGCCACTGCTGTCGCCTCTTTACTGTTAAACGAATTGAGACCGCGCCATCATAATGCAATTCATTCTGAAGAAACATTTGAAACCTTTTTTTCATTTTATTTGATTATTTGAAAGATAGCTGTTCTTCCCAATAAATGAGCAAAAATAATAAACAAATCTAAAATTTTTAAGCAATTTCAGCATCATTTAAAAGGCTTAGCAGCCTTGATGGACTAATAAATAATAAATCGACAAATATAAACGAAGAGCATTCATGAAGTAGAACTCACTTCATTAATTTGCTGCATGAGAACAGCAGTAGGGGTTCGAGGTTGATCTGCATGAATTTCTTGCCTTTCTCGCTTTTTTTGCTCATTCATGGCGGTTTCCAAATGCCGGAATGTTTCAAGATCCATTCGCAGCTTCTCGTTTGCTTTCTCTTCCTCAGCCAATGCAAGCTAAAAAATTCAACCTTATTTAAATTTCATGGGAAAAATTAAATGACGTCCCAGAATTAAATTTTATTTCTTCACATGGAGGTCCCAATTGTTGAAAAATGACCTACTTTCAACTGTTCATTTTCTTTTATTATCTGCATAACGCGTTCTTCGTACTTCTGCCGCTCCATTCTTAAGTCCTTCTCCAGCTCAACTATCTTTTTTTCTCGCCTTCTTGCATCACCACGACTCATTTTACCTTTTTTGAGAGCCTCATTTGTTTGGCGTTGAGCCATTACTTCTTCCAACTTATTAATAGCCTTAAAAAATTGCATAAAAATGTTCAATTTGGCAAGTAAACATTTTTGCTCTCTTCTCAGTTACAAACAATTAAGGTGGATGTAGCCATTTGAACTGATCAAACTTTTACAACTAACAGTAGTTTTCATCACTTTTTCGTGCTCTAACTGATTTTTCAGATCTCTTATGCTCTCTTCTGGCGAGGCACGTGATGAATCACGTTCCGAAATGGAACGTAGTTCATTTTGAACATCTTGCAGTGACTGTTGAAGTTCCTCTTCCTAGAAAAAAGCAGTTATATAAAAAATGGAACAAAGCAGATTGCGGATATGTCCAGTAAAGAACTTCAAATTGTTTAAATGTACTTCGACGCTTGAATGATTCCAGACAGTTTTATCAAAAATTGTGTAACATTTACTTTATCATAAAATAAAAAAAAATGCATATTGAACAAACTTTTTGCGAAATTAACTGTATAGCTGCATCTTTGGCTGCTAATTCCTTCTCATGTCGTTGTACAAGTTGACGTACTTCAACTTCAAGCATGGTTTTTTCTAAAACAAGGCAATTTAAAAGAAAAGTAATATGTGACCGGAAAAAATCTTATTCAACACTCAAAAAACACCTTTATCTGTAGTGGACAAATTTTCTTCTGCAATACGCCTCGCTAGTCGCTCACTTTCAAGGTGTGCAAGCATATCACGTGTTCTTTCTTCTTCTCGTCTCCTGTAAAATTTCTACATTAAAAAGAAAACTCTTTTCCTGCTGCATCAACTATTTTATGATCCACAACAATACATCAAGAATTTAATGAAACAATAATTTATACTGATGTTCTTCGAGTTGTTCCAAACGTCGTGTTTTTTCCAGCAATTCTTCGTTCAGAGCATTCATTTCAGTTTTGTATATATTCTAAAAAATTATAATTCAAGAATTTAAAAAATTGCAAAAAAAACAGAAACTGCAGTGAATTTCATAAGATTTTGAAATTTGTTACAAGAATGTGAAAAAAGGTATTACAAAAACTATGGAATTTATAATATGATCATCCAAATTTGCTTGTCTTAATTAACGAGGATATTTATTAAACTTACTGAGATAGATACTGACATATTTCATTACAAAATTTGCTTCAAGAAAAAATGAACTCATCCTCTTTAGATCTTTAGAGTAAAATAAATTTAAACAATATAAATGAAGTTGAAATTGGTGAATGCAAATATATGTTCACGAGTGACTTTAAAATATATAACATACTACAAATGAAGATTCAGTGTCAAACTGTTCTCGAACATCTTCCAATTGTCTTTGTAAAAGACGACTTAATGATGACAGGCTTTGCAGTTGATCCTCCACTCGTCGCTTTTCATCACGAGCCCGTTTCAACTCCTGCAAAAGATAATACTAAGATAATACCGCATAATAAACTATTAGAAACTTGTGTAAAAAAATATATCTAAATTTTTATTGAAGATTGATGTCCTAAGAAAAGAGAATTTTATTTATTTATAAAAATTAAATTCCTGAAAATTATAATCCAAGAATTTAAAAATTGCAAAAACGATAAAAACTATGGTTAAAGTTTGATGAAATGAAAAAAATAAATTTCATCCACAGTTTGATCACAAAATATAGTAGCTTCAGACAGCAGAGACTTACATTTTCCTGGTAATGTAACGAACTCTGCATATTCGACAACTGGTCATTCAAACAGTGTACATCATTTTGTGTTGATATTCGACGATTAGTTTCTTGTTCTAAGACAGATGTTAACTGCTCTATCTGTGAAATAAATTTGAATTAAATAGGGAATTTGTGAATTTCATAATATATATACATTAAATATATTGCTTTGGTAATATGCTGTTATACTAAGTACTGCAGGTTTAATGCAGAGGATGGTGTCGTGTATAGAGTCATTTGGCACGGAACTATTGGCTGAAACAAAAATTCACACAAAACGAGAGTAATTATATGCTGAAAACGCCAACAATAACAATTATGACATATTAGAAATTAAAAGTACCTTTTTGTGAGCTGCTTGAAGATCGCTAACGAGACGTACGTTATTTTTCCTGGCTTCATCGTTAATTCTGTTTTCATCAGAAAAATTTTCTTGCTGCGCCATTAACTCGCTCAGTTTTCCTACCTGGCATTTCAGAGCCATTTCCCGATCATGTGCTGCTGCTAATTCCGTCCGTAACTCCTCTACTTTTTCATTTTGTTCCTATAATATAACTTAGAAATTTTAAACGAAAATATTTAAACAAATAATTTCTCAGCAAAATAATGTATTGTGTTTTCGAAACAATAAAAAAATTACATTAGCCCGCTGCTGCGCTCGTCTTAAATTTTCTCGTTCTTGTGAATTCAAAGTATGCAATTGATCAATTTGTTGCTGCAATACTGCCTCCTCTTCATTACTTTTCTGAAGCCGTTCATTTAATTCACGAGCAATTTCACTTTGTGAATTTAATTTAGTATGCAATTCACTTTGTTGCTTCCTGGCACGTTCTTCTGCTTCTGCATGATGGCGACATTTCTCATTTAGCTAAAATAAGTACTGATTAAGTCTTGCAAAAACCGATGATTAAAATCACTTTTAGAAGTGCTAAATTAAATGTGAAACAAAATTAGACAATTAGCAAAATTTATAAACAAGTGATAAACAAAAAAACATGTTTCATAAAAAGTAATCTCTTTTAAAAAGTCCAGTGGCTGGATTGTTACTACCTTTGAAGCGAGCAAACAGTAGTTCAGAAGACATGCATTAAGCAAATGATCGAACATTAATAACTGAAATGGTTTTGTCAGGTAAAGACGACAAACCTCTCCGATCTGCCGTTCAAGTTCTTTCACACGGTCTTCCACCTTTGCTTTGATAATCAACTGCTCTTCTAGAGAAGTTATCATTTTAATTTTGATATTCATTTCTTCGCGTTCCATATCAAGTTTTCGAGCCAAATCTTTCACTTGTACTTGATATGCTGCCAATTCTTTTTCAAGCTCTCGTTTCTCATCCTAAAATTTTATGGCATAAATTTGTAGCAAAATAATAAATGGAAACATCATGCATGTTATATTAATCAAAGCAATTTACCAATATACCTCTAATTGCGATTCCGACATCTGATTCAGCTGGTTCAAAGCAGCTCGAACCTGTACTGTATCACTTCTTGACGTGGTTTCAAACTTTTTTTGAATGACAGAAATCGGTCTAAAACAAGATTCGGGGTATAAAAATTATAAATTTCGTAATCTTGATTTTAAATGCAATTAAAACTAACCCAGTTTCATTAGAATAAGTGAAACCAACAAAGGGCAATTGATTGCCAGCAAATGATTTTGGAATTTGAAAAAATTCAGCAGGATCCGGTTCTTTTGCTTCGATATCATCAAAATGAGAAGCATCATCATCACTCTTTAGCTCCGGAATCACCGGAGGCACAGCTGAAAAAACTTTTAATATGAAAATAATAAGAAAGCAAATGAAGAAAGATAACATATTTTCGGAAATTAATATTATCTACTAACCTTTCCGAATAGTTTCGAAGTTCCATTCATCATTTTGGAAAAACGGATGCTGTTTTATACTTTCGATACCATTCTTACCAAGCCGTTTCTCCGAGCTAGATAGAAAAGCGCGTACTAAATTTTTGGCATTTTCGGACATTTCAACATCTTCCGGAAAACTGAAAATTATAAACTGTCATGCCACGAAGTCAGGAGTTTTATGAAATAGTTTTCTTTCTACAACTGAAAAAAAACCAACTTCAATTCTGTTGCATGATTTCTAATTCTCGTATACGTTCCCATCAAAGAATCGGCATAAAACGGTGTTTCACCCACCAGCATTTCATACACAAATATACCCACAGCCCACCAGTCAACTTCCCGACCATATACTCCTTCGGTACCTTGAAGTTCCAGTACTTCTGGACTAATATAATCGGGAGTACCAACTGCCGTCGTACATTTTACTAAACCATCCTGCAATAGCTCACTAATAAATATAACTTTAGAAGTGATTTCTATATATTGATATTAACTTATCTACAAAGCTTCAAGAATGGAACAGCTTGGAATAATTGTAAGCATCTACACATAACACTTACCGGACCCATCCGCAGACATGTGCCAAAATCAGCTAATTTCACATGGCCCGATTTACTTATAAGCATATTGTCTGGCTTGACATCTCGATGAATGTAGCCCATTCCATGCAAGGTATCCAAAGCCATTACAAGCTCAGCTGCATAAAAACGAGCCCATTTTTCGGATACATCATATAAACTCATTAAGTTGACTAAATCGCCTAAAACACGCATTCATTTTTTCAGATCTTATCAAACAAAATGTTTCCGTATCATATTTTTGTTCAAATCTAAAGTAATCTTCAATAAAAATTTTTTTCAAAACAGGAAATTAAAATAGTGTCATTAATTTTTGCAAAATTAAATTAACCTCCAGGCATGTATTCCATTACCATGTATAGAAACTGGGTATCCTGAAAAGCATAGTGCAAGCGCACAATCCATTCAGAATGAGCATGCGCCATAATATCTCGTTCTTCCCAAAAAAATGCTGAATCAGCCCGCCGCACCTCAAAAAACAGAAATGTTATATATTAATTCGTCTGATTTCCCTTAAAAATTTAAGACAGTTGTGAAATAAAGTTTCCGTCCTATACCTTTCCTGTCGCTTACCATTTCGTTTTTGTTGAGCAGTTTCATAGCATAAACATTTCGTGAGGTAATATGCCGTACCAGTTGTACTTCACCGTAAGCTCCACGTCCTATAACTTTGATAAGCTGGAAGTCAGAACCTTTTAGACGAAGCGCTGTAAGATGCTGTACTGCTTCACTATCTAAAGTAGAAATTCAGAATAAGCAAAATATAAGAAGTATCATATTCAGCACAATCAGCTCATACAAAGTACCGTTGTAAGCAACCCAATTAGTGGATAGTAATCTTAAAATTATAAAGCAGCTGAAAGATGGTTTCAGAATGAAAAGGATTCTTACTCGCATACCATACTGATCTATAAACTCGCCTTCACTAGAATGAACATTCAGCTATTTTAAACAATATTTCCATTCAGAAAAGATGAAGTTACTCACAGCGAATAACAAAATTGTCGATATTCTTTGTCCGTCTTAATAAAGGATAATTGCAGTCTTCTACCAAAGCCGCTAAGGCATCCTGCAAATGAAGCTCTGTATAAAATTCTTCATTTAGTACATATATACACATACACGTTTCTTATTTCAGTGTGGTAAAACATGAAATTAGAAACATACTTTGTGTAATATTTTTTAATGAATATGAAAGAATCCAAAAAAAAGACTTGCCAGTAAGCCATCAACATTGAGCATGGAACGGGGGTTGAGAAGCTGCTCGGCCAATTCAGCTGCTTCCCCCATTTTTCTACAAAATCATTTTCATTCTATCTCTGAATTCATTTGCAAGAAAATGACGCCTAATTACCTATTTTCAAGTGGTCATGCTATCAAAGTTAATCCAACTTGCGATGGTAAGAACTGTTAGCACCACATGAGGCTCAGTGTTCAGTTCCACAACACTGATTTTGTAAAATTTAGGGGACATTTAGAAGATTCATTCAAAGAAACAACATTTCTCATTTTCACATTTGCTTGAAAGCATTATAAAACACATACTCCCATCTCCAGACCCACTGCGGAAAGTATGACACACTTGTGTCAAGAAATCATTTGAGTAAATCAGAAAATATCCCTTTTCTTAACGATGAAATAATATTCAGATTTAAATACTTACGAGGACTTTCACCTTCTTTAGGCACTTTGATATCGGTAAAATATACTTAAATTAGGGTTTAGCGACTTATCCCGTATCAGTTGCTTCATATCTATATCCTCCAATCAGAATCGAGCCTTTTAAAAATGAAATAAAACGCAGCTGATGCATGAAATTTCGGAGGATGAACAACTGGCACGGGAAACCGTTTCTCCAAACGTTGTATCTTCCCATTTCCTCCCCGTGGATATAATGGATTGCAAATGTAACGCTTTAAAAAAAGTATGCTCACGTTTGAATTAGAATCTTTTCAGCCAAGAGCAAGAGAATTATCTCACAAGAATACAAATAATACATTTATTTACAATCAGAACAAAGATAAAACAGAAAATTCAGAGAACATAACATGAAATCAAAAATAATTATGAAAAAAAAATTTACATTATGAAAATAATTTAAAAATTAAATTGCATTATGAAAATAATTTAAGGAACCACTGGAAGCACAATGGCGACGATGCAAACATAGGAAAAGCACTTCACAGATTGAAAGCAGAATGTGGGGATACTCAGTGATTATAAAAAAGAATGGCAATTTACAGGTCCTACTAGGAAGTGAGTTAACAAGAGACAAGAGAGCTAAGAAAAAAGTGAAATTTTAAAGGAATTTTGTCTTTGAAAATCTCTAATCCGTGTTTCTTGCTGCCAAACATTTTGATTTTAAAGTCAATAATCAGGAGTATTATCATAATAAAGACAAGTGAAATAAGATCTTTTCAAGAATATATCAGCTTTGTTTAGGTTTAAGACCATACTTTTCTTTTATCCTATCTTGATGTTCTGGAAATGGATCGTAATTACTAAGTAAGCCAGCACCATAATAAGTATATTGAGAATTGAGAACATTGATGTGGTAAGTTTTCTGCAGTTTTCGCCGTCGACGATGCAACTGAAAAAAAAAATATCTGAAGAATCTCATAGTGAAGTAACGAATGGCTACTGTTGTTTTAGAACAAAAAAAGCTCAACAAAGCTATTTTCCCCCACATATATTATCAGAACTCGATAGTAATCACATATGCAGTTTGCGACTTGTAGAGTACTTCTCATAGCTAATCAAAAGATTGTAAAGTTGTCTGCTGATCACTCTATTCTTGAACAACATCACCGATGCAATCACTCCAACTGCTGACGTAAAAAGTTATCCCAGAAAAAAGTTATAGAAAATGAAAATGTGGTGAGAGATACTGAACAGATAATAGGTAATACAATTTGTTTATATGATAGATTAGGTTTCAAAATTCACCCAACGTAAATTTTTGTAAAAATTCTGTAATTCCCTGGCTGAAATGAAATTATTATATTATATCAGACTCAAAAGTTCTACAAAAGTGTAAAGTTTTTAAAAAAATGATCGTGTCCTGATAATAATTTCACAAAATCATTTTAATCCTGCATTTAATTGTACTCGCTGGCAACACCATCTGATGAATAACACACCAAAAGTTTGAATCAACTCCTAACTTTCCTCATTCCTCAAAAAAATTCATGTTCATAGCTAACGCTTTAGAGAAATTCACAAGTCTGATAAAATAGGATGTTATCTTCTCTAAGAATATCAAAAAAATAGTTCAGAGCAATTTCTTTTAACTATGCAAATCTGAGAGACCAAAAATCAAGCAGATTGCAACACTTTTCGAATCAAGACAAATTAAAAATAACTAACACAACACGACCTAACAAAATAATCATCTTTACAGACTTTTTATAAGATAACAAAATAAACCTTCAATATAGTGTGCAAATCGTTGAGTGTAAATGGAAATTCGCCATCAGAATCTGAGTCAGATTCCTCAAGCAAAATTTTCTGAATCCATTTTCGTTTCCTCAAAGTTTTAAAATTATACAGCTGACTAACAGCAGCTTTTCGTTCTTCTTCTGTTGCCCACAGAGAGCGTACTGAAAACATACTGGCGATGTTGTGGCGCGTTTTGACAGCCGAACCAGGATAAGGCAAAACTGACGTGCCTGGAACCCTGAAGATGAGGTAAATTTCGAATATTGACGGCTTTGAAATATTCACTGCTAAACAATTTTTATAGAGAAGTACGAAATTAGACTATTATTATAACTCAAAACGAATATAACTCTCACTTTATGGGCTGAGTTAACAGCTCTTCCAGCTGATGCACAAATCGCGTCAAATCTAACATTTTGTGCAATCTTTGCATTCGCAATGACTCGGTTGCAATATTCCTTGATCGACTGCTTACCATTGGTCCACCAACCTCTAATCTTTCTACATTTGACGCACCTAAATTCAGATTGACTGTGCAGACCTGCTACCAAATCTCAGGATAATGCACAAGATATTTAAAGAATTTGTGCCACGTAATGGATCAATACTTCTTGGAAAACAAAGTGTTCCCGCAATAGAAAAACGCTAAATCAATGTTCCTTAGAAAACAAAACATTTCCGAATGGGAAGTAATTAAGCCGCCCAAATCAAGTAAAAAAGTTTTAAAAAGAATTTCATATAAAACAAAAGTGTGGGTGGGATGTTCTCAGAGTAATATCAGTTGAATATACTAGGATGACAATAAATGCCAAAGCTAACCTTGTTGCCCGTTTGTATCCATCACACATCCAACAACTCTCCTCACGTCATTAATTCCTCACAGCCCTATAATATATTACCACCCACGAAACAGACAATGAAGTCCCGACGCTATTGTGCTGTAAACAGAAAAATATTACTACTTAGAGCGGGATTTTAAAACAAGGCAATGAGCAGCGAATGAAGCGATTTTGAAATGCCCATTATCCAGCCAATAGTGGACACTGAAATCACAGATTCCCCAGAAGCCAATTAAATCAGAATCAAATTCAGTGGGATTCACTCATCCCATTTTATTTATTGATCCATTTGATCAAAAACCTTTTTTGAATACTAGATGAAAAAACCGTATTTTAATGTTTGCAGAGCAGATAAATGAAACACTATTATAAGAGAAAATTTTGGCGTTTTACTGCTTTTTTAGCAATTAAGTGAGATAATCCCGATTACAGTAGGGAACTTTGTTTTTTACTGATCTTTTAGCAAATGAACGGAATTTTTTTATTACGATAAAGATCCTTGCCAAAACAACACCGGTACAAACATAGATTGGAAACAAAGAAAAGATAAGTCCTATTCGCACCAAGGAGAAAATAAAAAGAAAACATGAAAATGATAACAGAGAAGAATAGTAAGGCAAAAAAAGCATCAACAATCTGTATATCCAACAAATAATCAAATACAATAAATGAATAATCATGCAATCTGAGCAAATAATAAGTTGAAGTAACGTAATTTTACAGATTTGGGAAAAGTGATCGATTTATAGGTGTTTTCATTGTACGAAACGTGGAAGTTTTCTTCCATCCATATCTAGAGCGAGTTGAGCTTCTTGACGAAGTAGATCTTTAAATAATGATTAAAAAACCATATTAGCAAATATATTTCAGTGAATAAAATTATGAGAACATAAAAACAAATACTGCTTAGTAGCACTATATAGAATCTATTTGACTTCAGTCGACAGCTGTTTGGCAGTCAGTTAACAACTGCACACAACGATTACGATTAGCATAACATCATGGCATATATTTTAACATTACATTATATACCATCATATTTTAAATTAATAATCATGGTGATAAATTTTATCAACTTACGTTTGTGATCCATTGAATCCCCTCTTGCGATCCTTTCCTCGTCCACTTCCGATTTGAGTAGAACGAGTTGGTGTTCCGAAATAAGGCATATACTTTCCGCGACCGGAAACTACTTCTGAATTGGATACTAAACGAATTTTAATGAGTAAATTAAATATCCTGTAACTGGTAACCTTTTAGATATGATTCTAACCTGAAGTTAGAACAACTGTACCATCCATTTGTATATCTCTGAAACCGCCGACGATATCTTTATTCATATTCATATGGTTCAGCTGTCGCTTGATTTCATTCTCTTCACGAGCTTTAAATTCAATGATAATTTTTATTTGTACTGTAATCAGTCATAAATATTTTACTAAGCTGTTTTTATTACTTAATTGTTCGCCTTTTGTTTAATTTTTTACTTAGTTGTTCGCCTTTTGCTTATTCCAACATAAATTACCATCGAGTTCATTCCAGTACTCCTTTAGCATGCACATGATTTGAGCCCCATATCGTTCAGCCTTTCGCACAGTCATGCTATCAATTTGCAACAGATCAGAATACGTACGCGGCATTAATGCTGCTATTTGTTCAATACCTTCGGAATTAATAATGGGCTGAAATAAAACTTCCGTATCATCCTTTTTTAATTTAAAATTCCATGAAGTTTGTAAATATTTGCAATCAAAAAAGGAGACAAACCTGATAACTGCTAAGGCCCTCTGCAGATGCAATGTCAGAAAACAACCGCAAAAGATCATTTTTACACTTGCTAAACAAGTCCGCATGCTTCACCATATATCTAAAATCCAAAATTTTCAAGAGACAGCCTATAAACAGAAAATGAGCAAATGAAAATCATCACCAACTTTTCCTTCAGAGCCTCTACTTCACTGACACTATTTATCGACATTAGTGCTGTTACTTCCATTCCATGAGAACGTCGACTACCTTCCGGCTGATTTGATATGTGAAGATAGACCTGAAAAGTTCTGAAAATGCTTCTATCAATTTCATGTTTCTTATTAAACTTTAATTAAGTTTTAATTTCTATTTTCTACCGTTCTTGTTTTTGTTACATTTTTTTGAACTTTTTGAATAAAGGGATCAGACTCTCATTTAAGATTATAAAGTTTTTATCAACTTTACCACTCACGTTCATCATTCATTTAGAATAAAATACAAACTCTTTATTCAGTACCTTCATCCTATTCTGTCCGCTCGCTAATTCTCGACCTAGTTCTGTCAGTTCAGCATAAGCAACCGTTGTATCAAATTTCGTATTATAAAGCTGCTCCGTGATAATGCCATCAATTACTAGTTTCCTAACAAATCTTAGTGCATCCATTTCTTGCATCCCAGCACCACGTCCGAACATTGCATATTTGGTGTGACCCAACCGAACAGCCTATGAACTAGGAACATAAAGCAAAAGTAAGGAAGTACAATACCTAAAGAAATTAGGAAATCAAATAAGAATAAGTCGAGTTTTGCATATCTAGACCAACCATATCTGCGAATTTTTTTTGTCCCATATGACCACGATATAAGTCGGCGAGGTATTTCAAAGTAACGTTATGCATACGCAGCATGCTCTGAGCTACAAGTTTCGCTTCTTCGGTCACATCGTAAACTTTGTATGCGTTCTGAATGTGAGGGATTATCAGAAAAATATCACATTTTCAAACATATGTTTCAAAAACTCCAAAAAATACCGCGTTCTTGATTTGCTGGACACAAATATCACAAGGAGATTTACTTGTACGACAAGCTTCTGCATCGTAAACCTGAAAATTTTGATGCCTCCTTTAAATATCTCAATGTTTGATAGTGAAAGTTAAACACATCAATTCAATTAAATACCTCGCCAAAATGTTCTACGAGCAACTTCCGTCGACAAATTGAAACATTTTCACAATATGCCACGATTTGAAGCACACTACTCAGATGCATCGTTCGTACACCTTGTGTATTATTTTCCCCTGAACTTCTAATTTACTGTCATAAAATAATGCGAACAAAAGATATTTATGACGTAAATTTGAAGTGTGGTAGCTGCAAACTTCGGATCAAAAAATAATTCCATGACTCATGAATTAACGCAAAAATAAAAAGTCGGAAACCTTCGATCATTTTTCTAATTCTTATTGAATCATTATAACTATAAAGGATTGCACAATATGAATTTAAGCCATCGCGTCCGGCTCGACCGGTCTCTTGATAGTATCCTTCGATTGATTTTGGCATGCTGTCAAGTAAATATTAATTTAATTTATTTCAAAACATTTGAGAAAAAAAATTTTATTTGAACACTAAGTTAATTAAGTGACTGAAAATATAATACCTAAAATGGATTACATATCGTACATCCGGTTTATCGATTCCCATACCAAATGCTGAAATGAGAGATGAATTAATATAAATGAGCTTTTTTAAACTTTTTCCAAAAAAAAGAGAATTGTTCTTCATAGCGTTTAGGTTTTCTTACTAACAAAACGGGAGCAATAAACGATCACACCAATGGTAGCACAAATGACGTCTATTCGATTGTTGATCCACTTCGTCTGCACTTCACGTCGCTTTTTATCACTTAATCCTGCATGATATACCTCTGAAGATATACCCTGGTTTTCCAACATTTTTGAGACTGATTCACAATCTTTTCTGGAAATAAGATGCAGATGTACAAAAATTTTAAAATCTTTTTATAATAAAGATACAAATAAATAACTGTATAACATAACATAAAGAAAAAGTTACATACCTTGAAAGACAGTAAATAATTCCTGATTTGCCCGGATACAAAATTTTCATGCGATCCATTACTCTCACTAATGAACGTGGTCCTTTAGCAATGACATCGTACTTCAAATTGGTCCTCACGAAACTGCTTATGAACCTAAAACATTGAAATGTTTCGTAACCAAATCAAGTTTCAAAAATCTATATAATAATGATATATTTAGTTTCAAAAGTAAAATAAGATAACAATAAAAACTTCTTTTTTAAATTTGTAATGAATTGGATTCAAATAGTACAATTTGCTTTGTTGAATCGCCAAATGTACTCGGGTATCAGTTACGATTTTTGGTGTTGCTGTGGCAGTAAGGGCCATTACTGGCACTACTGGGTTCGTGAACATCCTTCTGGAAAAAGACAATATAACAATGCTTAAAATGAATGCAATGCAAAATATGTTCCTATAGTCAAAGAAGTAAAATAGAAACTTCAAATTACAAGACCTCAGGGATTGCAGTTTCGTATAATCAGGCCGAAAATCATGACCCCACTGAGAAACACAATGCGCTTCATCGACGACAAATCGAGTAAGCAAGCCCCTTCGATGTAAAGAAAGGAAGACGTTATTCAATTTTTCGGAAGCAGCTATCTGAAGAGGAATAAAATTTGGAATATAAGCTTTCTAAAATTTTACGGGAAGTTTTCAGACAAGGGATTTCTGCATACCTTTTCGGGCGTCACATAAAGCAATTTTATTTTTGGAGAGCTTTCATTCAACATGGCATAAATTCGATCAGATTCAGCCTGACTGAGCTCAGATGTCAACGCATAACAGCAAACCTGCGAAATTCTTTTCATTTATTTCACAATTTGAACTGAATTTTATACCCTCAATATAGTTACCACATCTAATAAAATGATTTGATTTTCAAACTCATTTCACTCATTTTGGTAACTCTGAACCGACCTCAAGCTCCTTCATTTTCATTTTCTGATCTTCGATTAGTGACTTGAGAGGAGAGATAACAACCGTAACACCTTTTGACAAAACAGCTGGAAGCTGGTAACAGAGACTTTTTCCAGCTCCTGAAATAAAGCTCCTGAGAAAAACATAGATTTTATAGCAAGTGTAAATGAGGGTAAAAAAATTAACAGACCCGTTGGCATGAGGATAAAACAGTCGTATCCAAGAAGAGCTGCAATAATAGCATGTTTCTGGCGGTGGCGAAATTGGTTGAAACCAAATTTACTTTTCAAGATGCGATACATTTCACTGCATAACTCCTGCCCCAAATGTTTGTCTAAAAATTGAGTTTGAAGCATGTTGAACATCATGCAATCAAAAAAAGATTTTCAATGTAACTTTTATAAAGTTT